TATCCCAAATTCGATATCTCCCTTGGAGCTACTCATTGGTCGACCATTGTTATCTCTGATGCCGCCACTATCGAACAGGCTGAGCTGGTGTTTCTGGCTTCTGGTCCTAGTGTCAGTGTTTGTTTGTCGAATGCCACAACGGGGCAGCCGTTTATATCTACTCTAGAGCTTAGGCAGTTGAATGGTTCGATGTACTATACTGAGTTCGAAGACCGGTTTTATTTGAGTGTCGCTGCACGGATTAATTTCGGGGCAGAAAGTGAAGATCCTGTGAGGTCAGTATGTTAGTTCATAATCTGTTTGTTGTGTCCACATTGTGATTTTACAGGATGAGTTAAGAAAATGTGTCGGTATTGCAGGTACCCGGATGATCCGTATGACAGAATATGGGAGTCTGATTTGCTGAAGAAAGCTAATTATCTTGTGGATGTTGCTGCTGGAACTGTGCGAGTGTCGACTACACAGCCGATTGAAAGCGGTGGCAATGACAAACCGCCTCAGAAGGTTATGCAGACAGCTGTGGTTGGGACAAATGGGTCCTTAACTTACAGAATCAACCTCGATGGCTTCCCTGGTTTTGGTTGGGCATTCACATACTTTGCTGAAATCGAGGATTTGGCTGATGATGAGTCAAGGAAGTTCAGATTAGTACTACCTGATCAGCCTGAGTATAGCAAAGCTATTGTTAACATCAAGGAAAATACTCAGAGACCGTACAAGGTTTACGAACCTGGCTATCCTAACATAACCCTTCCATTTGTGCTGAACTTTCGATTTGCTAAAACAGCTGATTCTTCGAGGGGACCCATTGTGAATGCCATGGAGATCAGTAAACATCTGCAGAAAAGCGATGGCTCAATAGACGGTGAGCACAACTAGCCCTCCCTTCTCTTACTGTTGTGGCTTCATATTTGACTCTAAGATCATTGTTTGTATTGCAGCAACTGTTATGGCTAATGTGGCATCTCTCTATTCTTCCACAATCTGGGCTCAAGAAGGCGGCGACCCATGTTCACCCTCACCGTGGTCGTGGGTGGAATGCAATTCGGATCCAGAACCAAGGGTTGTAGTTGTGTAAGGAAGTCTATCCTAGTAGCTTTATACGAAGCATGCACGTATTTCTTTAGTTGCTATATGTTGTTTGTGTATGTGCTTAAATTTCATTCACTGCATATTTCAACTTATGTTATGGTTCATTATTTTCCTTTGCTTGTTATAACTGCAGAAAACTGTCGAATATGAACTTGACGGGAGATATACCTTCTGACCTGGTCAAGTTGACTGGTTTGGTTCAATTGTAAGTTACTTATCTCTTAGACTTTTGAATCTGGAAGTATACAACAGAGCTAATTCTGTTATTGATGTTGCAACTTTTTGTCGATGGCAGATTGCTTGATGGGAATTCTTTTACTGGTCCGATTCCGGATTTCTCTCGGTGCCCGAACCTGGAGATAATGTAAAAACACTTTCTCTCAGGTTGAAATACTCTATTGCTTTTATATAAATAGATGATGGACTAAATGTTTGCTGTGGCAGACACCTCGAGAACAACCGACTAACTGGAAGAGTCCCTTCCTCATTGGCGAAACTCCCAAATCTGAAGGAACTGTAAGCTACTGAAAAAGGATCTTTTTTTTTTCTTGTTATATTAACTCGTATGGCGAGAAATGATTGTATAATCTACATTTTTATGCACCTGACCTGCGTGATGATTGCAGGTACCTGCAGAATAATTTGTTATCAGGAACAATACCATCAGACCTGACCAAAAACGTGATCTCTAAGTAAGTTTATCGTCCCATTCAAGTGCAGTGTTGATCGGCGCTCGCATGAGTAGTTCTTAGGTAGATCGTCTTGAAATAGTACAAGTACACTCATGCATGCTTCTGTCTTTGTGTTTGCAGCTTCTCGGGGAACATTAATCTTGAACAAAGTGGAGATAAAGGGAAGAAGCTCGGTGTCATCATCGGTGCATCAGTTGGTGCTACTGTTTTGCTAATTGCCACCATCATTTCTTGCATCTTCATATGCAGAGGGAAGAATAATAACAAGATGAGGAAGACTTCAGGTATTTTTTTTTATCTTCTTACAAATACACATGTCTTGATTCTTGGGTTTGGATTAATGTACTTTACCTTTTTGTTTTGGTTAATTTCAGCGGAGTTAACGAATCGTCCCTTGCCTGTTCAAAGAGTGTCATCTACCTTGAGTGAAGCTCATGGAAATGCTGCACATTGCTTCACACTTTATGAGATTGAAGAAGCCACAAAAAAGTTTGAGAAGAGAATTGGGTCGGGAGGTTTTGGAATTGTATACTACGGCAAAACAAAAGAGGGGAAAGAGATTGCGGTAAAAGTTCTTGCAAATAACTCATACCAGGGAAAGAGAGAGTTCGCAAACGAGGTGAATATGCCTTTAATTTAACCAATATCAATAAACGCCCCAAGTGTCTAGCACTTTTTGCATAGGATATAACCTGAGTGATCATGGTTTGTTCAGGTTACATTACTCTCAAGGATACATCATCGGAACCTTGTGCAGTTTCTTGGCTATTGCCAAGAAGAGGGAAAAAATATGCTTGTGTATGAGTTCATGCACAACGGGACTTTGAAGGAGCATCTTTATGGTAACATATCTTTTTACGATAGGCCGGTGTTTTGCAGTGTTTTGGTTTTGAAGTTATGTTAACAAACGTATTTCCCTTTCAGGCGTGGTACCGCGTGACCGGAGAATCAGTTGGATTAGGCGACTTGAGATAGCTGAAGATGCAGCCCGAGGTACGTGAGCCTGTTAAGTCTAAATAGAAAGAGCTCTTGATCTCTGATCCGAGGCCATTTTTCGGCAATTTATTTTGTTGATTTTGGTTGTATTTGTAGGGATCGAGTATCTTCACACAGGATGTGTTCCAGCAATCATACACCGGGATCTCAAGACGAGTAACATCTTACTTGATAAACACATGAGGGCAAAGGTTTCAGATTTTGGGTTGTCAAAATTCGCAGTTGACGGGACCTCACATGTCTCCAGCATTGTCCGTGGGACAGTTGGATATCTGGATCCCGAGTAAGCTGTACTTAAACTAACGCCAAGAACAACTCATATCTTAACTGAAACTAACATAATTTTTTTATTCAATGTTAAAGGTACTATATATCGCAGCAGTTAACGGAAAAAAGTGACGTATATAGCTTTGGAGTCATTCTTCTTGAGCTTATGTCCGGCCAGGAAGCCATATCGAATGAAAGCTTTGGTGTCAACTGCCGGAACATAGTGCAATGGGTGAGTCCAAATTCTAGTTTTTTCTTGTTTGTTCGATCTCTAGCCAGTTATGAATAGTGGTATCCAATCCGGTTTCTTGGTTCGGATTGTTCGGTTTATGAAACATAGAAACCGGATAGCGTTCAATTTGATTTGACATGGTTTTTGTCAGAAAACATATTCCTCAATTGAAGGATTTTCAGAGACAAATGGTTTGGTGTTTGTTTTGATACATAAAATATGAAAACCGAATCGGTTTGTAAAATCATTTCTTGGTATTCGTTTTTGTAGGCCAAGATGCATATAGACAACGGGGACATCCGAGGGATCATCGATCCAGCACTAGCGGAAGACGATTACAGCCTCCAATCGATGTGGAAGATCGCGGAGAAAGCGTTGATGTGTGTGAAACCGCACGGGAACATGAGACCGTCGATGTCCGAGGTGCAAAAGGATATTCAAGACGCGATTAGGATCGAGAAGGAAGCGTTGGCAGCAAGAGGCGGAGTATCAGACGAATTCTCCCGAAGCTCGGCGCATTCTTCGTCTCTCAACATGGGAATGCATGACCTGGCTGGATCACAGAACTATGTATCCATTGATGAATCTGTCTTGCAGCCAACACCTCGGTAGTATATTCGGCTTGTACAGATGCATAACTCGATCATGTTTTGTTTTTAACCTTTCACGTTGTGTGGTC